AAATGTGGGACTCAATTTCTGTCCAAAGCTGTGTGACTTTTTCTACTATATCATAGTGTCTGGCTGTGGCATTCTGAGATGATACATATCTGACCACCTTCCTGGCTCCTGGAACAGGGTCTCTAAAGCCCCCTGTTTTTTAAAGATTTACTTTATTTTTCATTGCATGCACGCGTGTGGCTACACACATGTGAGTGCAGATGCCCACGGGGGAGGCAGCAGATTCTCTCTATAGCTGGAACTATAAGATGGCTCTAAGCCACCTGGCATGGGTGCCAGAAACCAAACTCAGGTTCTCTGCAAGAGCAGAATGTACTCTTGACCATGGAGACATCTCCCCAGCCCAGAACACTGGCTTTTTGAGGGATATGATGACAGGAGCATCTGTCATTACATCTGGCCTTAATCCCAAGTGAGAAGGGGATCGTGAAAAGCCCTGACATAATCAGTAGGCCAGAAGTATTAAGAGGCCTGGCCCTAGTGACTGGTGACTGAAATGGGTACAGTCTTAGCAAACTTAGGGAAAAGCCTTTAACCTAGAGGGCCCATACTAACCCCAAGTAATTTGTGTCAAATAGGATTAACACATTGAGTGTCACGAGGCTGGAGAGGCAGCTCACCTGTTGGGAACTAGTCAGAGGACACACGTTTGGGCATCCATAGCCATATCTGTGGCGCACATATATGCATGCAGGAAAAACACGTTTATACATAAAGATAAATCTTAAACAGCATTTTAAAACATTGGATGTGGGCTGGAGAGATGGCTCAGCAGTTAAGAGCACTGCCTGCTCTTACAAAGGTCCTGAGTTCAATTCCCAGCAACCACATGGTGGCTCACAACCATCTGTAATGAGGTCTGGTGCCCTCTTCTGGCCTGCAGGCGTACATGCAGAAAGAATATTGTATACATAATAAATAAATAAATAAATAATAAAAAAATAAAACATTGGATGTGATGTTAGGGTAAGAGTTTTTTTTTTTGGTTTTTTTGTTTTGTTTTGTTTTGTTTTGTTTTGTTTGGTGGCGGGGAGTTGAGATAGGGTTTCTCTGTAGCTTTGGAGCCTGTCCTGGAACTAGCTCTTGTAGACCAGGCTGGCCTTGAACTCACAGAGATCCACCTGCCTCTGCCTCCTGAGTGCTGGGATTAAAGGTGTGCGCCACCACCGCCTGGCTGGGGTCAGAGTTTTTAGACCCGTTCCTAGCATCTTCATTGCCCACTAAACTGGCCTTGAAATCACCAAGAAACACATTTCTGGGTGTTTCTTTGAGTTTCCACTGAGGTGTCATGGACAGAGGACTCCCTGAGTGTTGGTGACATATCCCTTGGTCTGTAGTCTCAGGATGAATAAAAAAGGGGTGGGGGTGGAATGAAGCCTCTGCAAATACAACATTGATGGAGCATGCATGCTTCTTTCAGAAAAGAAGGTAATAATAATAAACATCTTCAAGATTCTTCCTGAAGTCAGCAGTGCTTGGAAGGCTGAGGCAGATCTCTGTGAGTTTGCGGCCAGCTGAGTTCTAACACAGTCATGGCTACACAGAGAAACCCTGTCTTTGAAAACCAAAAACCCAAAATCAAAAAAAAAAAAAAAGATTCTTACCTCCTGAGATGTCTGCTGATCCAGGGTGGGGCATACAGCAGTGTGTGCAGGCCTAGCATGGGGCGGCTGGCACCTCCCAGATGGCATCTGCACACAGAAACGACAGATATTATGAGGAGCCACAGGTGGACAGTTTGCTTGGTTTGTGACAAGAATGGATTGAAGTTCATTCATTCTCAGAGAAGGGAAGCACCAAACTTTGCAGCATAATCCCACCCAAAAGAAAAAAACAGCAACACACACACACACTCACGCACACACACACACACACACAATCTCCATTTTAAAAATCTAGTAACCCAACTAGGCAGTGGTGGTCCAAGTTTTTATTCCCAGCACTCCAGAGGCAGGCAGATCTCTGAGTTCAAGGACAGCCTGGTCTACAGAGCGAGTTTCAGGACAGTCAGAGGTACACACAGAGCAGCCCTGTCTGGAAAAAAAAAAATGAAGTCAGCTGTGTTAGTTTAGTTTCTGTTACAGTGATAAAAACACTCCAACAAAGGTAACTATAAGGGAAAAATGGTTTATTTGGCTTACAATGCCAAGTTGCAGTGCATCGTTGCAGGGAACTCAAGATAGCAGGAACCTGAAGCAGGCTGGTTAAATCCAGTTTGAAGTAGGGAGAACAAAAGCTTGGGCGCTTGCCGCTCAGCTCCCTTTCTCCACTCTTGTACAGTGCAGGACTCAAACGCAGGGAATAGCGCCGCCCACAGTGGGTGAGTCTTCCCGCACAAATTAATGTGATCAAAACACCCCCAGACATACCCAGAGGCCACCCTGATCTAGACTGTCAAGATGATGGAAGTAAACATCACGTGACTGGAGAGCTGGTTCAGCGGTCAAGAGCACTGACTGCTCTGCTGGAGGACCTGATAGCTTCAGTTCCGAAGGATTGCTGCCCTCTTCTGGCCACAGAGGATACTGCATGCATGCAGTGCACAGACATACACTCAGGCAAAAACACCCGCACACATAAAATACTGCAAAAATCTAAAATAACTGTAGCCAGCAGCCTTCATTTCTCTCTGCTTCCTGACTATAGATGCAATGTGACCGGTCACCTCACGCTCCTGCCGCCTTGCCTCCCTGCCATGGCGGACAGCATCCTTCTCAAACCGTGAGTCCAAAAATATCCTTCTTCCCCTAAGTTGTTTCTGTCAGATATTTTTGTCCAGAAAATGAGAAAAGCAACTAATACATTGGTGTTGGAACAAAGCCCGCAGAATTCTTAGTCTTAAACCGTACACATTTGCTCCCAGAAAGATGGCTCAGCGAGTAGATGTGTTTGCTGCCAAGAGCTGATGACCTGATTTGATCTCTGAGACCTACACACTACTCCTATGCATCATGGCCCATGCTCCCAGGCACCTCTCTCTCCTTCTCCCTCTCCCTCTCTCCCCCTCTCATGTATGCATGTGTGCCTGTACATACATGTGCATAAAAAATAAGAAATTTTTAACAAAAACACATATGAAAAGGAAAATAAGTAAAAATAGACCCCAGTACCAATGTACAGGTATGATGGTGCACACCTTAGTCTCACAACGTGGGAGACAGAGGCAGGCAAATCTACACAGTTCAAGGCCAGCCTGGTCTATAGGGTGAGCTCCAGGCTACGCAGAAAAACCCTGTCTCGAAAAACCCAAGGGGGGAAAAAAAGAAAGACAGTCTAGCTTTGTTGGGAGGAGAGACCTACTTAACTGGTCTCTCGTGTCTGTAAGAGCAGAGTGTGACAGGTCATGCGAGTTAAGGTTGTGACTGCAGGGTGGGGTCACGCTATGTGCCAAACGCTGCACAAGTAAATCCGCCCCCTCCCCTAAAGCTGTTTCTGTTCTTTGTTCCCTGTCTTCTGCTGTGGGGACACGGGAAGCAGGACCTTGTCAGATGGCAGAATCAGGCTCGTGGGCTTCCAGAAACCTGGTCAAATGAACTTCCATTTGCTATACACTACCCCACCTCAGAAACAGCCGGAAACAGACAGGAACACAGCGTGTGAATGGTTCAGAGGGAATGTCATGTGGACGAGACAACAAAAGCACTCCCTGCCTACAGGCTTGTCACTTGTCAGCGCTGGTGCCGAGCACACACACAAACCACTCTGCTTTCCATCTTTACACCTCTCAGTAAAACCTTAGCTGATCAGTGAGTTCCTCCTCCCAGAGCCTTCAGAGACTCCCTCATCTCCTTGGCGTTCCGACATAGACCCCAGTTTCCAAACTCTGACGTTTAATGACGAATCCACCGGAAAGGGCATTGACATCTCAGATCTGCCCTCCAGAAATTCTCAGTCAGAGGTGTGTAGTATGCTCTGAGGTTTTATATTTTTTATTTAACTTTTTTTTTTTTTTTTTAGCTTTTTGAGACAGGGCCTCGCTGTGTAATCCTGGCTAGCCTGGAACTCATGATGTAGACCAGGCTAGCCTCAAACTCAAGAGATCTGCCTGCCTCTGCCTCCTGAGTGCCGGGATTAAAGGTGTATGCTACCCAACATGGCTGTAACCTGGGGTTTTTAATAAACTTTCCAGGTGATTCTGAAGTAGGTGGTTGTGTTCACCAATAGGAGAAAAATGTCCAAATCCTGAAGAAGGCACTAAAGTCCCTCCTGAATTCGACCCCCTCTTATCTTTCCAGACTCAATTCTTTCCTGTTGGCAGTTCCTGGAACAACTCGCCAGCAATCAGCAGGCGGTGCACATACATTTCCCTTCACCTAAAGTTACTTTTCCTTCTTCCTAATGTGACCGACGCCTCAAACTCCAGGGCCACTAGCCACACTGTCACCTCTTTGGAAGTGTGCTGGCGTCATCAGACGGAGCTCGTTACCCCCTGTTGTTCATCTAGAACATGAATCAGATTGCTATGTCACTATAATATTAACATTTGCAGGGGGACCATTCTTATTTAGAGCTGAGGATACAGCTCAGCTGAAGCGTCTTGCCTAACACTGGGAAGGCCCTGGGTTCAATGCTCAGGATCATAGCCAGTCACTCTTGCTAGGATGTAAGCAGGAATGTGCCTGGTTCTTTGCGCAGGGCCTGGCACAGCGAATGAAGGAACGAACGGTTCATGCTATGTTCTCCCGACTTCCTGAGCTCTTAAGGGTCTAGGCCGGTGAGATTGGAAGCCCCACGAGAGAGGACGGCTTTCCTACTTCTATGTGACAGGGACGCCAGTCAGTGAACATATCCAGTGGGTGATACCAGCTAGCAGTCCCGCACATCCCAACAGAGGGGGTACACCCTCCTGTACACCTTCCGCGTGTCCTACACCCTCCCCACAGATAGGAAGAGACCTAGAAGCACAGCCCTGGGCTGCCAAGGCCTCGTTCCCAGCTCTCTGACTCTTCTGTTGATAGAACACTGTTGCTATAGAGATGACATTACTCTAAGGGGCAGAGTTGATTGAAGCTTCCGAAACAACCCCTCAGGAAGGCTGTGTATGGAGTCGCTTCACCCAATCATTCACTTCCTCCTCTATTTGCTCGCCTATTCCTGCGTCTACTCATGTTTGTATTTGTTGGTTTATTTTATTACCGTCTTCATAGAGGATTAGGCAGCCAGCTGGACAAAATCCTCTTTGGGTACAGACAGCCCTACTGATTGCCCATGGTGAGATCTAAGACCCAACTAATACTGGTCAAGGAAGGACAAAGAGGGCTTGTGAAGGGACAGAGGCCGGCCTGACAGGAAGGAGGCGGTCCTGAGGGAAAGAGCAGGATGAAGCTGGCCAATGTAAACCTGATACACTCACTGCAAAACCCCACCCCACCCTGCTGCGGCAGGCTCCTGAGGGCTAGTAGTTCAGGGCTTCCTCGGGAAGGCACTGTGCACCCTCACAGAGTGACCAAGCCCAGGGGCAGGGACAGGCCTGGTCAGACAGTTGATGTGGGTTGTCTACAGGTGGACAATGTCTCTAGACTTCAAGTTTGGCTTTTGCAGGGTCTTCACGACGTGCTTTGCATCGACAAGGGCAGGACTGGCCTAGGCCAGGCTGCCTCCACCCGTGCCTGGCCTCTGAGCCCTGTACCTGGTCACTTCTGGCTGGCGGGCCCGTGGAAAGACCTTCATCCTCTGGAACGGCACCCCAAGAGCCCTGCAGTGACCCATCTACTCAGTCATTGTGTATATATTTCAAGCTGCCTCGCTCTGCAGTTGCTCAAGTGCCCAGGTTTCTGAAGAAGCGGAAGTAGGGGTGGATGTGTGGACTCCTGCTGCCACGCCATTCTGGATTTCCGTTAAGTGGGGGACTGTCTGCCCACGCCTCCACTAGTAATGTGTTTGTAGGCAGTTGCCAGTACTCTTGGGAAAGAGTATGGGGGACGCAGGAGGAGAAAAAGCAGGGAGAGAGGGGGTAGAAATGATATACATACAGTATTCATGTATGAAATTCTCCCAAAAATGTAAAAAATAATAATAATGATAGAGAAATAAATATTGGCTTCTTTTTGGCTGTCCAAGAGGTACAAGTGTTTCATTTTGGGCACTGAGTTGTATTTTGGGAGCTTTGACCCACTAGCTTTAAAGGGAGGGAATAAACCTTTAACCTGCTCATAAAAGGGAGGGGTGAGGAACCTTAAGAGGAAAGCAAGGGTAGGAAACCTAGCGTCTGGGATGCATCTCTCCGCTGCCGCCGTCGTTTCTGTAGCTTACCCAGGGGTCAGTCACAAACGAGGTGTGGAGGTCAGCTCTAGTGCCGGGGACTGGAACAAAGTGCGGTTCCGGTACCGCGTCCTCTCAGAAGCTGTACCTGTGGAGTAGATGAAGGACGCGCCCACTGTTTCTTGTTCGCATCTGCCTAGGGAAAGATTGCGGATGGCTGGAGTGTCTTTGTCCGCTAGGCTAGCAGGTTGCACTCGCTGCTCCAGGGGCACCAGGGGCTCTGCATTTTCTCATCTCGCTTTGTTCCGACTCTTCCTGATGGTGCTGATTAGAACCCAGCACCCTCCAGGAAGCTCCCAAATTGGATCAATCTGGAAAGCACAAAGGAGAAGAGAGGCGAGCTCTGGGAATAAATATGTAAAGCAAAGCCTCTGCTCTCCAGAGACTCCTCTGTGGGCCACAGCTTTCAGCAGTCGGACGTCCAAAGGCGGCGGGCATACCACCGACATCTTAAATAAAAATGTCAACAATTTTTTTTTGTTTAATATTAAAGAATGGTTCGGGTGACTTGGAAGGAAGCCTTTATTTTTAATGTAGTACTATTAATTTGATAGAGGTCTTGGAGATCTCATGGTCGAGATTTATTAGATGTATTGAAGTTACCAGACACTTCTGGTTCTTTGTAATCTTCACAGCTCTGGAAGAGAAAATTGTAAAATCAACAAGTGTTTGAATTAGAGATGTTTGGAAATGTGAATAAGGAATAAACTCCAACCTGATATTTTATTCTGCTTACCACAATGTTACATGGTTGTCACGAGTTTGCATTAGAATATAGACTTTATGTTAATGTTTTAACTTTACAATAGTAAACTCATGGTTGAAAGAAGTTAGTCATGTAGGCTGGGTTTGCAGCTCGGTGGACAGAGTATGTGCCAGCATCCATAGGGTCACCATGCCAGATCCACACCCAAAAAGGCATCTCAATTTGTCTGTGCTGTTTGGACAGCAAAGAACCTGGGAGGAAAAGTGGGAAACACAGAATGTTTTTTGCAAGTTAGTGCTTCTGTTGTACATGCTAAGGAGGCTCCCAGTCTGTTGGTAAGGCACAGTAGCGTTTCCTAGGGGGCTAGTGGGCAAGTCTGTGTGCAAGTTCTCGGTAACGAACAATACACCTAGTGAAGATTAATTACACACACTCAACTTTGCAAGAACACAGTGTACACAGTGTCTGGTGTTCTCTAAGAAAGTGTTTGCATGAAGCTTATTTGGTCAATATTTATTACTAAAGGACATCTCTACCAGCAATATGATTTGAGAGGTAGCTCTAAAATCTATGGTTTGCAAGACATTAGGGCAACACTTGTGAGTTGTGGGGTTCCGTGATTGTTCTTTAGGTAGTGGAGGGGGGTGCTCATCGCTGTTATGTGTATGTGTGTGGTGTGTGTCTGCCGGCTTGTCATTTAAGAAGAACTGTATGGTGTAGTTCTAGCTGTTGTGAAGGTGGCCAACGGGACGGCTTTCTGGTTTGGGTCCGGGGTTTTCATATTGAGCTCATGACGTTCTAGTTACTCGGTTTTAATTGGTGCTTTGCGATGTCTGTTGAGACAGGACCTGGGCAGCTGGCAATGAAGAACAGAGTTTAAAGACAACAGGAGCTCAGATTATGAAGATGTGTTCCTTGGGAACAATTTAAGTTTCCCATCAACGTTTTACCTGCGTGGCAAATTAGAATATGACATCCCCAAAATATGAAGGATTGTTGCACTAAATGTAACCGAGCAGAAAATCTAGGCATGGTCTCCGCCTCCTCTGTCTGTGAAAGGCAAAGTATGAATTAACTAAGACAAAAGACCTTGCTTCTCCTTCCACCGGAGGGAGGCAGTACCGAGAGAGGCGTTTACACCTGCCGGCCTAGAGATGGTGACGGATGGACCTGTGGCCGTTCTGTACTGGCTGCCTCTCCTAAAAGATTCAGATTCCTAAATGTTCTCTAAAAGTTAGTAATTCTTTGTTGAAGATGTAAAGGGAAGCCTCGGTGTCTGGGCTTGTCTCATCCCTGGTGCATATGTGAAATACGTGTTTGCTTTTGTAAATGATTTTTATTTATTTTTATTTTATATGCATTGGTGTTCTGCCTGCATGGATGTCTGTGTGAGGGCATCAGCTCCCCTGGGACTGGAGTTACAGACAGTTGTGAGCTGCCATGTGGGTGCTGGGAATTGAACCTGGGTCCTCTGGAAGAGCAGCCAGGGCTCTTAGCCACTGTGCCATCTCTCCAGCTCCTGAAATATATGTGCTAATAATGACTCTTTCCCCAGCACCGGGGACTGACTCAGTATCCTACCGTCGAGCTGTCTCCAGCTTTTTGTATACTTTTAATCTCTCTTAGGTGCCCAGGCTGACTTGGTGCTCACCCTGTAGCCAGCAAGGCCTTGAGTATGCAGGCTTTCTGCTTCAGCCTCCAGTGTAGCTGGGATTACAGGGCTGTGCTACCAGAACCGGCTTATTTTAATCTGCCTTTTCTGTGATAGATACCCATCACAACTAAAAACCTAGGGGATTGTTCTTCTATGCTGCTAACTGCACTTTCTGAGAAACTGTGTGTTACTGAATTATAGCAGCCATAGTATACATCGGGTCTTGCTACCAGTTGATATTTTTCCCTCTGTAAACACAACTACTCTCATAGTAGTCCTTGCACACACACTCACACAGTGAGTAGGTTAGGTAGCTTTTGGTGGCACAGTCTAAGTGAAAGTCCACATTTCCTTCAGTAATCTAGTGTAACACGTTATTATAACCAATGACATACCTTTCATAATTTATTTTTGTCGTCCCCAAAATTACTTACTTGCGTATGTGTGTAAGTTCCTATGCAAACACACGTGTGTGCAAGTGCTTGTGTGTTGGGTGTCTTCCTCTGCTACTTTCAACCTCTATTTTGTTTTGTTTTGTTTTTTGAGACAGGGTTTCACTGTGTAGCCCTGGCTAATCTGAAAATCACTGTGTAGACCAGACTGACCTTGAATTCAGATGCACCTGCCTCTGCCTCCCGAGTGCTGGGATTAAAGGTGTATGCCACCACCCAGCTTTCAACCTTTTTTTTTTTAGAGATAGGACTGCCAATGAACCTGGACTTGCTATTTTGGTTAGACTGGCTGGCCAGCATACCCCAGCAATCCTCCTGTTTCCACTTCCCCAACATGGGGTTTCTAAGCACACGTCATCACATCTGATGCTTTACACGGGTGCATGGGATCTAAACCTGGGTCTTCATGCATACATGGTGAGCACTTTGCACACTGAGCCCTCTCCTCAGTGTCCAGCTGTGATGGCCAGTTTCAGCTGCCCACTTGGCACAGTCGAGAATCCCTGGAGAAGAGATTCACAGTGAGGGATGGCCTAGTGTTGCGGGATTTCCCTCTGTATGTTGTGATTGCCATTAATAAATAAAGAAACAGCTTTGGGCCTATAGCAGGGCAGAACTTAGCTAGGCAGAGAAAACTAAGCTGAATGCTGAGAGAAAGAAGGATGAAGTCAGAGAGAAGCCATGGAGCCGCTGGAGACAGATGCTGGGAACTTTACCTGGTAAGCCGCAGCCACATGGTGATATACAGATTAATAGAAATGGCTTAAATTAATATAAGAGTTAGCCAATAAGAAGCTAAAACTAATGGGCCAAGTGGTGATTTAATTAATAACCAGTTTCTGTGTGATTATTTCAGGGCTTAGCTAGCCGGGCGGCAGGGAACCAACAAGCGGCCCTTCTCCCACAGCCTAACTTGAGAATGACTAT